CAGGAAATATCCAGACCCTCCCACAGCCAAGCTGGACCTGATTTTAATTCGCTTGTGACAAATTCCTTAATTTCTCACAATTTCAGCCATGGTGTCATTGGAGGAAGAGATCGCTTGCCTCTTGGAGAAAAAACAAAAGAAAAGGCCAGATCAGGGATGAAGAAGGGGACATTGGTATACATTGGTGTTGCATACAAAACAGTCCGTCGCCAGGCAGTTTATTGTGTGACACCGAGTACGCGTATGCAGTCATAAAAATTGAGCTTTGCACAAACATGCCTTGCGGGCATCCACTTTGACTGGTACGCGCGGCCCTCCGTGGACTGATGTACGCCCAAGTATACTGGAGGCAAGAAAGCCAAATACTCTGAACTGATGTTTGGTGTGTAGGCACAAACAACTGTCAGAGCCCATCCTCGCATTCGAAGGTGCAGGGAAGCTACCCTCTTATCTACCAGGGACAACTCCAACACACAGGCACCAAGTTGGGGTGCTAAAAGTAGACCCACACCATCTGGACCATTCTCACCACGGGCAACTCCAGAGTTGAATAAGGTCCAGCCCCTCACAAGGATATTGGTTCCACAGCCCATGCTGTACGTCGAGGTGAGCCCAACTACAGTAAATCTAGTCAGTACCTCTCAACCTCACGCACAAGCTCAGGCTCCTTCCCCACCAGAGAAGTCACATTCTATGTCCCAAGAACCAGCTTTGGTAAGCCAGGTTGAGAGCGCCAGGGCCCCCGCCTCTGCCTTCAGCCACTGCCCATGGTGTCATGCACCTGCCTCGTATGGCCCTTCCTGCAGGAGGTGGGCCCACGGGAATGCAAATACATGTTGCTCATTCAAGCTGATCCTGATCAGGCCCCATGGGTAGAGACCCGGTCGCCATGTGCTTGCCGATGAGCCCCTCCCCAGGCCTGGCTCCAGGGTGGAGCCCAGGTAACCCCAGGCACAAATAACTGAGCTAATTTTGTTTGTTTGTCTGTTTTATTTTATTTTTTGTCCATATGAGTTTTTGGAACACTCTTTGTCTAGCCTGTCACCAGTGTTAACAGACAAATACACACAAACATGCAAAAACATCCTCGGCCATTGGCAGCAGATAGTAAAAAGATGTTTAAATAGGTTCTTGTCGGGTGAACAACTAGACCCAGGAACACTGCTACGAGCCTAAAAACAAGCAAAGAGTACAGCACATGTGGTCAGAACAGTTTGTATTTTTATATCTTCTGCAATGTGCTAAAAACACTGGTGCATGGAGGAACGCAAAGACACAATGACGTGAATACACAAAGACAGCCCTAAAACAGGAAATGAAACACACCAAACACACACAGAGCCCCACGTCAATCTCTGAGCCTCAGACCTCGAAGTGAAAACACAGAAGAGAAAATTTGTCATTGTATCTGAACAGCAACCTCTGTGTTCATAAAGAGGAGCTAAAATGATCTGAAAAATTTTGTTCCTGACACTCTATTTGCATAATCCAATTCTGGACCTGAGGTGGATCCAAGGGCGTCAGAAGCATCTGTAATGTGGGGGGGGGGGGGACACAATGATGTGTGTGTGTGCGTGTGTGTGCGCGCGTGCATGGATGTGCGCACGTAAAAATAGGTGTTCACTAGTGAACAAAAAAGCAACATTTCACCAAGATTTCCTTTAATTCCACACATTGAAAACTTGTTTCTCACCAAGTTTGTGTAAATTCATCTGTGGGTTTTAAAGACATTTTAACTTTAATACACTTTAATACAGAGCGTCAGGTCGGCACTATTTATGTTTATAGAGAAATAAAAAACATCAGCGCTGGACTTTTTTACTTGTGTTCAACACTACTCATCTAGATGATGTTTCTCATGAAGCTTGAGAACAATAAGGTGTGGGGGTTTAAAGACATTTCAACTTTAATGCACCTGAACACATCACGTCTCTTACACCTGCAGCGTCTTACAGCGTCACAGTTACTGCTAAGCTAACATGCTACAGACGTAGCGCTGCTCTCAAACATCCTCCTAACAAGAATATATGCTTATGATCAACCCCCTGGTCAACCACTGCCCGCACTAAGCTGCTAAACTGGCGAGCGAGGAACACAGGTACCTCCACCTCCTCCACCTGTGCGCGTTTTCTGTGGAGGCAAGAGGCAGGAAGCAACGGTAGAGAGTTGGAGGTAACCAGGAAAACCTGGAGTGGAGTTTTAGTGGCTTGAATATTCTCCTATTAATCAAGTGGAATGGATTTGTTCACGAAGAAAGAGAAACTGCGCCGCCTGAACTAATGTTTTATAGTAAAAGTGTGTGTGTGTGTGTGTGTGTGTGTGGGGGGGGGGTGTCCAAATGAACGTGTTTTTAATAGGGGGGGGGGGTGACATGTCCCCTTCGCATATAATGGTTGCGACGCCTATGGGTGGATCACATGAGTTTACAACAGGCCCGCACATTTGTGTGACTGACAGAAGAAACTGTTCTGACGTTAAAAAAGTCAAACACAATCAAGAAAACGTCACATTTGTTTTTCCCATCTCGGATTTTTACGAAAACAAATCCAGTTTTAAGCAGAAATGACCTCCCATCAGTTTAATGTAGAATTAAGAAAAGGCAGCTTTGTAGACTGTCCCCCCCCCCCCCCACACACACACGCACACATGAGCAGACATGATATGTGTAAGAGCACAAGCAGAAGCATGCAAAGCTCTGCTCTGATTGTGGAGCCTTTACATTTGTGGCATGACATCTTTTTTTGTTAGCAAAATACAAAATGCACCTCCCACATTCATTTGTATGTAAACTTTACAATGATGTGTTTGCTAAAACATCTGAAAGCAATCCAAAGCCTTGTTGTTTGTCTCAAGGGCCACAGCGCTGTTAAAAAAATAAAATAAAATAAAAATCAACGCTGATTTGCTGAGTTTGCCTGATGGACATCAGGATGCAACAAAAGGCAGAGAGCAGCTTCCTGTAGGGTAATCATTCACAGCACCCAGGACCACATGATCAGAGGCATTATCCACTAGAGTCAGCAGCAGCATTACGGCCCTAAGTGGCCTTAACATGCAGGGTTAATGGTGGCTGACATATACTGAGGGCTTTCAGCAGCAGCGTAATCAGCCAGATCACCTCACACTGCATCACCGTTACACCGATGGCACACAGGAAATCACATGCAGGCTACAGGTAGAGCTAATGAGTGAGGCGGTTTGCAAGACTTTATTAATAAACTCCTGAGGGAACTCATTTCCAAGATGGCCTGCTCTACTTTTTAGTGTTAAAATAATTTGCTTATATTTGACATGACACAAAATGCGACGATGCAATATGGTGCGATACGATACGGAACAATGCAGCATGATACGATACACGATACGAAACAATATGCTAGAATACAATATAATACAATATGGCACAATATATAAATAAAATAACTAACATTCATGGAAGGAATGCATTTTGGTCAAACTCATTTAATATCTATTGTGGGATCTTTTAGCACTTGTGTGTATTTGGCTCTCAGCTACAACCACAAAAATCTTAGCTCAGTACCTTTAAAAAGACCAGGGTAGAGCCATTTTTGTGCAGGCTAAAGTGAATTAGCTGTGGCGACCATCTTGAATGGGGTTGACTCCAAAAGTAATTCAGTTATTGATGCACAGCAAGTACCGGTATTTAATTTCTAAACGTATCCGTAAAATTCAGAGATATTCTGGTTATGGATTAACAGGGATGACTCCAGCAGTTACAATGATCCCAGGTTTAAAGAAAAACACGGTCTGAGCTTGGAGTATGAGTTGGGGACGATGCTCGGCTACTTCCACACCAAATGTCTGTTACAGCCATTTTGGTGTTTTCTAAAACTAGTTGGCTGTGGCAACTATCTTCTATCAAGTTGACTCCACATTTTAAAGAGTTGTAGATGTACACCCAGTGACTACTTTCTAAAAGTTTCATTAAAATCAGTTGACTGATTTGAGATATTTTGCTAAAAGTAAGATAAATTACCAAATGGAATTAATTATTAGAACTGTGTATTGACTTCTATTCATTTCTGTAGCCTAACCCGAACCATTACCAGTCTATCCTAACCATTACCAGTATATCCTAACCCTAACCCTGACCTAAACTCAATTCAGACCTTAGCTCTAAATCTTACCCCGAACCCCAAAATGGTGTTCCACCATGATATTAGCTGCTATGGCCCCCACAAGGACTATTGGTCCTGACAAGGAATTAGCGTAAAAGTCCTAAAATGGTAACAAAATCAGGCTGAAGCAGTATTGCTTTGCCTTTGGCAGGGTGTTATAAATATGGAACAAAACATGATGATAAAATAGAAAATAATACAACCTAATGTGGTATGATGCACTGTATTACACAACATGAAAACATGAATAAAATATGAAACAATACCAGAGTGTACAATACATAACAATACTGCAATACGGCATGAAACAGTACGATAATATATATGATACGGAACAATACAATACACAACTATCTGACACGATGCAGTACAATAAGATACCATATCGGCCTACAATATGAAGCTAAACGATTCTGATGTGATGCAAAACAAAATGTATTGTTTTGAACTCGTGTTCTCGATCTTCACCAACACCATCTACACATAAACCACTGAAGCACAAACACAAATGATCCACCTGTAGGACACATCCTGGGCTGTAATACCAGTAATATTTTACTTTTTTCTCCACTGGTTTGCCCCCAAAGCTTTAAAGTGTACCTGAGCAGAAGTAGGCCTCCCCCCCACCTCTTTGTGGGACTCACAGACAGCCTATCTGTCACAGAGGCCTCTCTCCATTAGGCAGAAACATGAAGCAAGGATCCTCCCAGCACCATTACTGCCTCAGTGACAAACACACGACCCCCCACAGACCAGAGCCACTAAAACCAGGAGCGTCTGATGGTCTTAAAAGGAGGTGTGTGTGTGTGGTGGTGGTGGTGGTGGTGGTGATGGTAGTGGTGGTGATGGTGGGGGACTTACGTCTTTGAATTTATCCCATGATCTCCCAGTGAGCCACTTATCGTCCAAAAAATTGCCGCTGTCTGCGCGAGCGGAGACGCGTCCGAAGGCGACGGCGCACACACACAGCAGGGCGACGCTCAGCATCTGCGGACACACACGCACGCACGCGCGCGCACACACACGACAACAACAACAGGAGAGAAGAGGGACACACTGGATCAGCCTGAAGAGGAGGACAGCGCATTGATCAAACCAAAATAAACAGCAGCTGAACATCAGCTAAAGGTTTTCAGCCCACCTTGTCGCAGCAGCAGCGGCTCCCCGGACTGGATGTGCTCGCTGCCGTTTTCTATCACAAGTCACAGCAGCCTCTCCTCCCTCCCTCGCTCCTCACTCTCTCTCTCTTTCTCTCCCCGCACCCGCTAGTCAGTGAGCAGCGAAGGATGGGAGCGCGCATGGCACCGACCGTGCGCGGGCCCGCGGAACCTGGCTGCGTGTTGTTTTCAGAGCTCCAGCTACAATGATTACTTCCTTTAGCAGAAATTTCAGCTGTTTCCAACACTAAAACAAGAAGCAACGAAAGGCCGGGCGTTCCTTGAAGGAATGCGCATCGCCCGCCGCCTTTCAGGCCGGAGTTTTAAACTGAAATCATCTTATTTTGACAAGAAACGCAGAGTTGTGTGGCCCAATCTGTGAAGCACAATCAAAGAGCATTTAGAGAATGTTTTAGGAGTTACTCTCAGTTACACAAAATTATATTCCAATATCTGTCAATCTGACTGAGTTACAGCAGTTTTTGTGTTGTTACCAGCCTGCCTCAAATACTTGTACTCATGAAACTACCCAATACTTTGATACAATTTTCCTCCTCTCTTCCTTATCAAGTAACTGAGGGCAAAAAAATTAAAATGTCCACGGTTTGGAGATATTTTAAAAGGTTATGATGACTGCAGACTGCTGTGTTCTTAGAAACGTCTTTCAAAAGTCACTGTGTAATATATAAGTGCTAACTCGTACTCAGTATCATTAAGTACCCAAACTGAAGTATTTGTACTTGTAGTATAGTTTCAGGACATCCCTAACAGCCACCTTGAATTAGACTCCAAAAGTAAATCCGCTGTAAATGTAAATCAAAGAAAATTTATTTAAAATCCATCCAGTTCACAAGATATTTTGCTAACAGACAAAAAGGGTTGACTCCAATAAGTTAATGCTAAACAAACAACACTTTGAGTGCCATGATTGACAAAACTTTTAACTCCACATCTGTAAAATATGATTAAATCATAGACTGACACATAGCAGGTAATTTAGCTGTGGCAGCCATGTTGATAGCTGCTGACTCTCAGTTATAGAGGGTCATCCAAGAGTTCCATTTAAATCTATTCTTTTTTTATTTTATTTTTTTATTTATCCTTTATTTATCCAGGTAGTCTCATTGAGCCAAAATAACTCTTTTTTTTTTTTTTTTATTCGGTGGTCCGTGAGATATTTGGACAAAGCTATGGACAAAGGCACAAACACCGACATGTGTACAAACATGATCCCCGCTCACCTTTGGAGGGAGACGATAATAATGTAACTGCTATAAAAGCCAGAAAACGAAAATGAAAGTTGTCTTTCAGTGATGGAACGTTTCCACTTTTCATGATTTGTCTGGTGTGTTTCAATAAAATCCCATGAGAGCTGAACGCATGAGAAGATTCCCTCACATTCTACTGATGGATCATCCTGAAGGATTCCTGATCTTAACTAGTAGATGATCTGGTTTGTTGAATCTGCCTTTGAGTAACCCTCACATTTACTTCAGGCAGCCTCCCTGACTTTTCATTAGTCGGCTTGGTCACTTGACAGTCAGAACAAGGAAGTGTTCCAACTAAGGAAGTGACCGAAAAAGATTTTTTGTTGGTTCATGATAAGATCAGATAGAACTTTACTGACATACCTGTTTCTAAACCTAGAAAGGACATACTTGTCAAGAACTGTTCAGCTCGTATGTTGGGGTTGAAGCCTAAAAATTCCAGCCTACATACAATCTTGAGGCCGGCCTACCTATGATTCTATAAATGCTGAGTATGAAACGTCCCTCATGGCTGCACAGCATATTTGGAATTTAATTGGTGAATGTGCGTGTTTTTGTTATAATGGTGGTGAATGCATTTTTTATTGTGGTCTGTAACCTTCCGTGTGGTGTATGTTATTAATAAATAAACTATAAAACAAATCTATTGTAGGGTTTCCAGTTCATTCCACAGGTCCCTGGCTCCAGAGGTGGTGCTAACAAGCAACAACTGACAGTCATCCCACTAATTACCACCAGGACTATAAAAGGCTGCAGAAGTGCTTCCTTCATTGCTGGAGTACCTTCTGGTACTTGTGCTTTCAGCCTCCCTGTGTAATCCTTCAGACTTAAGTAAACTTATAAGTCTTGAGTCCTCCTTGTGGATCTTCCCCAGCTGCTCCTCCACCTTCCTACCACTTGCCTACACATCCCTCTCAGTTGGATCTCCTGGAACTGAATTCCTCCACCGCCCTCTCTGCGCTACTCTCCAACCGACACCCTGTAAGATAAACTAGAAGCTGCGCTATCCTCTTTTCATCTCAAGTCCCTGACTCCTCTCCTTCCCTTCCAGGGTTCTTTATCCAGTTCTGTTCTGTCTGGGTATACACCTTCATTGTCACATTGATAAATGGGTTCAAGTTTTCAGCTTATTTCACTTATTGAAATAAGAAAGTAATAACCACCTTAATTCCATCCATCCATTATCTTTGCCTGTTTCTTCTTTTTTTTGGGGTCGGGAGGGTCACCGGTGCCCATGTCCAGCAATCACTGTGCGAGAGGCGGGATACACCCTGGACAGGTCTCCAGTCCATCACAGGAACACATGGAGACAAACGAGACAAACAACCATTCACTCTCTCACTCACACCTAGAGACAATTTAGAGTTACCAATCAGCCTAACATGCATGTTTAGGTCTGTGGGAGGAAAATGGAGTACCCGGAGAAAACCCACACATGCATGGAGAGAACATGCAAACTCCACCCAGAAAGGCCCCTGGACCGGGATTTGGACCAGGGTAATCTGCTCACTAAGAGGCAGCAGCAACTGTGCCACTGAGCTGCCCCCACCTTAAATCATATAGGGCAAATAGGGGTACCAATTTTGACTATTGGTTGACTATTTATTTGTTTTCAGTTTCAGGCTATAGAGTAAATATTCATCCAATCTTTATTTATACAGGTTAATACCATTGGGCCTCAGGGCCTTCTTTACAAGAGAGACCTGATTTCTTAACAAAGAGTGATGACAACAGTGAATAACAACAACAATACAGTCATAAAATAGGCGTAGGCATACAAATTTGTTTCTCTCTGTTTTTTTTTTTGCAAATCAAAACAAAACAAAATAGCAAACACAAGGACAATCAAGAGGAATAGTAGCAAAAAAACAGCTAGATTATAAGGTGATTTAGAAAACTAAAAGCAGGAAGATGTCTACATTGGTTTTTGCCAGGAACTCAATAGCTGTTCTAGCTAGAAATAAGAATAAGATAATAATAGAAATAAGTAGGCAGCAAGGTGTATCAGTTGGTAGAGCTGTTTCCTCTCAGCGAGAAGGTGGTTTACATTGCAGGTAACACCTGTAGGGGTGTATGTTGTAGTATGAACAGGGTGCAGATATATTCATACATATTACGGGTTCTTCATTTTTCTGAACTGTGTAAATGTGCATTGAATTTAACAGAAATGTAACGAGAGACGTTATTTATCTTTGACCCATCAAAATGAATGCGGTCATTTATTTACAGAATCAAAGTTTAACATCAAACATTTACATTAATTTGGCAAAATATGAAAATAACAACAGCATAGTTTTACAGGAAATGAGAACAATACGGCGATTGTTTTCACTTTTCAGTTAAAACGGCAGACATGACTTAATCAGTTTTACAATCAGGAAAATCATACGGCCATGATTTTCCGTTGCATCACCACAGACATTAATGAAAACATCTGGATTAATTTTTAGGAGAAAGGAGAGTTTAAGATGGAAAATGGAGATTTATCTTACAGAGAGATGTGTGAGGGAATTTATCTGTGGTACCAGAACAACACGCTCTTTGGAGAATAAGCTTGGCCCACGGTACGCTTGGTCGAAATAGAACCTTTACCTGGTTGATGATAGAATCAGCGTCGGTGTAGAGTTCCCTTCTGACTCTTTCAGCGTCTCCGTGAGGACAGCCAAACCCTTAGGAGTCGTGTGAGGTTATCCAAACAGAAGTTATAATCCCAAAATCGTCTCTGGATCATCTTGAATGCGTTTGCATCCAAGAACTCTGAACTCTTTACGTCTCCAACTCTTTCAAAGCTCTACTCATCTCGTCTCATCTCGTCTCGACACGACAACGGAACTTTTAGACGACACTTCTCTTGAGAACTGGGAAGTTGCCACATTTAAATGGGTTCGACTTCCGGTTCATTTGAGAGCTTTCTGATTCGTGGATGGACCAGAACAGAGGTGTGGTTTGTGATGTAAGGTGTTATGAAAGTCAAGGATAGAGATTAAGTTTGTTTAAAGCAGACAGAAAGATTATTGGAGAAAACCAGACTTCGTGGAGTCAAACTCTCCTGTATCTTCTGTAAAAGTTAAACATGACATTTCTTTTCAGTAAACTTTTTAGTTGACCGAAACCTGAACTTTGACACACACTTACAAAACTTGCTCATTGAAGACAGAAAAATCAAGAAATGCATATTACCCTGATTTCTTCTTTGAATGAGGAATAAAAATCATTACTTACTGTTTATGTAAATAAAAATGAGTAGTTCTCTTCAACCTGTAAACATTGTTTGAACTAACACAATTTGATTATCAAACATTTGTAAAATAGTAATGATCATAGAGAATTGTCTTTTCCACTTGATTAATTCAGGAAAGAAAGTCTCAGGATGGGTCAAACTGTATTTCTGGATGCAGATCAATGAAATAACAGTTTCTGTCCATCTGGTTAGATTTGACATCAGGTCAAGTTCACTACAGTGTAATTCATAACTACTTAAGGTAGTCCATATCTATGTCTTTTATAATATTAAGTAGCAAAATGATCTGTAGGCAGGCACATTTGATATGTGGCCAAGATCGCTGTAAACCACATCAACATGTTTAACACTAGACATATATTATAGTGATAGACTTCTAATAATAGTTCAGTACTATAACACTAGACCTCTAATTCTAGACCTAAATTATAACACTAGACCTCTAATACTAAACCTATACTAAAAAACTAGACCTTGGTGTGACTATCAGAAGTTTTCATTATTCAATATATTCTTACTTCTTCTTGAATCTATGATCATTGTTGCACATATACAGGACACAGCCATGATCCATCTTCA